TCCATTATTGATTGGTGACGTGCTTAGTGATTAATTGAGTCTGATTAATTGAATGAACCATAGTCTCTTGGGATTCGATCCTTACTTGCCCTACTACACAGTTAGAAGGAATAGTTAGGTTATTTTTGTTAGGTACGCGATAAGCCTATCAAACTTTGGCGCCGTTGCCGGGGACTAACGGTTTTCATCTAATTATTTGTGATTCGTTTTTGCTAAGATTTTGGTTTGTTGCTTTGGATATTATTAACTTCTTTTTCTCTTATGAGTTGATGATATACATGCCTTGGAGATGGATGATTTATTGTCACGTCTTGCATCTGGCCATTGTTCTTGTTATTATCTTTATCATGAAAACCCTGATTGCCCTTATAGTGAGTATTTTGTTCGAGCTCCGGATGATTTTAGAATCTTTCCATTCATATATGATTATTCTAAAAAACGGTTTGTTCTAAATGAAATTTATTGGAGGATTCATGATGAATATTATCATAATTTGTATAATACGTCGGAGGAAGAATCATTTGTTGAAAAACCGATGGTTAAAGAGTCATTGGTTATAGAATCAGTGGTTGAGGTATCATTGGTTCCAATAGAAGAAGAATCATTAGTTGTAGAACCATTGGTTGAAAAGTCATTGGTTGTAGAACCAATGGTTGAAATTTTTTTTTCTTTTGCTAATGAACTTATTCGTGAGCGTAAAATAATAGAGACGTTATTGGGTGATGATAAAGAACAAGACTACCTCCATGTTCGTTCTATTAATTCTAAATTTTTAGCGGAGGAAGCAGAAGGTTGTGGTGTATCTTCATCTTTTTCTTTTGATTTTTCTTTTTACCTTGAGTTATCTTTGTGTGCTCCTAATCTTTTCTATGTAAGGATTACTGTGCTTGCAATTGAGCCCTATATAGTGCTTAATGAAATGTTTGCAGGAGCGTATGATAAGTTACTCAAGGCGTTAAATTCTTCTGATGGAAGGAGAATGGTCAAGCTTAAGACCTTGATAAACTAGCGCTTTGCGGGAGGCAACCCGTATTTCATTATTTTTATTTTAGTCTTTTCTAATTTTTGTGTGTTTTCATTTTTCTTTGATTCTTAGAGAGGTAAGGAGAGTACATCTTATGCTTGTGGGAGTTCTCTTGGTGCAGATTTTGATCTAAAAGGCTGATTTAAAAGGAGAAGAATTCGCTGGACTGCGTTCGAGTTCGATCAGGAAGAGCTCGCCCGATCGGGCGCGCGTATGGATCAGCAAAACTGCTCAATTTCGACAGGCCATAACTTTCTGGTTAATTATCGGATTTTTTTTATGTGACCTATCGTTGGAAAGATCTTTAAGTATACTTTCCAATGCAATTAGAATCACTGCATTATATTTTATACATCAAAAGTTATGATCAAAACAGTGCACATGACTCAATTTTATTCTTTTTCCCACTAACACTTTGTTTCGTTTTTGCTCAATTTTGTTCCAAAGAGATGCATTGCAATCCTCGAGGCTTTGGTGACATTATTTTGGGTGATGATGAAGATGAGGTTTGACTACAAGTTTCCCTTTAAGACAATGAGGACATTGTCTGATTTAGCTTGGGGGGAAGTTCTTGTGTACACAAGGTACATCTTTCACTCTCTCTTTCTACTTTAGTGTGTTTTCACTAGCAGTAAGGTTTAATGCTTTCTTCTGGAAAAAGAAATGAAAAATAAAAGAATCATGATAATGAACGGCCAACGGCCATTGAACTACTTCCCTGTGCCCCTATCCTTTATGCCAAAAGGTTTTGATTTATTTTCGATTGAAAGACTTGCATAGTGGACTAAAAGATCATGATTTGACCTTGAATTTGTTGATCCCTAGTAGGAGTCAAGGTTATTTAACTATGTATGATTCAGGAGCTTGACTGTGTTAACCGTGAGGCTTGAGCCTTATATATTCATTCTTGTGTGTGTTTAGTTCCTGGTGTAGCATTGATCTTAGTTTTGACTTTAGACTCTTAGTAGTGTGTCGTAATGCATTGCACGTGCACATTGAAATGACGAAGGCCATGTTCATTAGGTAGCCTCCAGACAAAATTAGAACATCAGTTCCCTTCTTGCTTACCCATGTTGTAGCTTGACTATATTTTTCATTAACTCCACAAAAATTACCCCTTGGCCCCAATTTGATTACTTTTCCCAAGTCTAGCTTGGGGGAGCTATTTTATGCGGTATTTTTGCGTGATTCTGTTTCAAGTTGCAATTGATGCGAAAATATTGAAAAGAAAAGGAAGAAGAAGAGAAAAAGTGAGAAAAGGAGGTTTGATTGAATTACTTGAAAAAAAAAAGTAACATTTCTTGAAAAAGAAAGAGAGAAATAAAGAAAAGAAAGAAAAATATTTGGAAAAAGTTTCAAATGAAAAATTGTTGGATTGAAAAAAAAAAAATAAAAAGATAAAAAAAAAAATAAAGAAATGAAGCAAACAAGTAAAAGAAGGTTGAAGAGTTGAGAATGTAGGTGGATGAGATGATGGTTGTGTTTTCATTGTAATTGGGTTTGTGTTTCATTGATCGAAGTTGATGAATCGAGGTGTGACTCATCGCATTTGATAGTTCCCCCGGTTAGACTATTATAGCTCTCATTCCCCAAATTATTGTCCTACCCATTCTTATTCCCGACCTACGTTACAAGCTTCACAAAGTCCTTCCGATCTTCGTGCATAGCATTGCGTTCATGTGAATTGAGTCTTTTGTCAAAATGCTGGAGTATATGTTGCATTTCAAGTCGACATTGACTAGGTTGAGCGTTATTATAACCCTCTAAACACGCGAGTGTTGTGAGATGGGGGGATTGCATTGTTGGTGGGGATGGTGAGAGATCGAGCTCATTTTTAGCTCGCCACATAAAAAGTGTGTTGAGTGACCACCGATGTGAGATACTCTAGTCTTCGATTCTTGAATTATAAATGGTTGGTCTCATTTGACGATTAATTAGGTGGATCGACGGTTTGAGTAATTTGATTGGTTGATTAGGATGCATGCTCGTTTGATTTCGATTTTGAATCCTTGTTTGATTTTGCATTATGGGGTGAAGCATGTTGTTTGGTTGTTGATTGTTGTTGATTATTGTTAATTGTCTTGCTTGAGGACAAGCAAGAGTTTAGCTTGGGGGAATTTGATAAGTCCTATTTTGCACATGTTTTAGGTGGGTATCTAAGCTCATTTTATTACAAAATTAGAGATCTTTGGTGCATATTTGCATTATTTGCTTAAGTTGTGCTCTACTACTCTTCGTTTGTGTGTTTTGATGAATTTCAGGTGATTTATATGCAAATGGAGTATGGTTGGCTAATATTGAGTATAATAATCATGGAGTATGAAAACATATTGCTTAAGAATATCAAATCATGTGTTCGAGACGAACTTGAGTGAAAATGAAGCAAAACGTTGATGAAATACTTGACAAATATGACACCTGTTCACTATTATGCTCATAACTTTTGATATACAAATGATAATGGAGTGATTCAAATTGCATTGGAAAGTAGACTTGAAGACCTTTCCAACGATATATTACACGCCTCAAACAGAGCTCCGGATATGAAGTTATGACTGATTTAAGATGAGTTAAATACAAACTATTTGCTGCAGCCTCTACGTGCCCGATCGGGCATGGTCCGCCCGGTTGGACCGGGCACATAGGAGTTAGATGATTTTTGGTATTTTCGAAGGTAGAAAGCAATTTATGAAGACCGCCCCACGCGCCCGATCGGGCAAGGTCCGCCCGGTTGGACCGGGCACGTGGTGGAAGAAGTGCTACGAAGGAAAGCAACTCCGTACTCTCACCGCCCGATCGGGAGGTGCTTGCCCGGTTGGACCGGGCACAGTTATACGACACTCCGTATTATTATTTTCTTATTTTTAGGTCATTAAGGGTATAAATACCCCTTGTAATCTTCATTAGAAAGAAGTTTTAAGTTTTCCATTATTCCTCTTTCTCTCTCTAGAGTTCTAGTTTATTACTTTGAAGCAATTTTAATTCTTTCCATTAGATTTGAGCATTGTTTTTCAACAATTTAATTCCTTTCAATTGAAGAATCCTTGGTATTCACTTCTACTTCATTCTCTTTCAATTATAATTGCTTTTCAATTATGTTTTCCATATTCATGATTGTTATTGTTTCTTTCAATATGTGTGAGTAGATTTTCTATTCCAAGATCTAGGGTAGCCCAATTATGATTGATGCATGAATTAAAACTTTAAATTCCCCAATAATAATCCCAATTGACATGCTTAATTGATTGTGTTTATGCCAATACTAGATTAGGAATAATTAGTATTGTTATCATCCCTTTGTTCTTATTGCAACGGAAGTTGGGTATTAACGGGATTAGGTTATTCCAATTAAGGGTTTGAAGATCATCACGGAAGTAGATGATTGAATAATTAGGAATCTAGGCATGGTGTTTAATGTCCCTTATTTGCTTGATTCCACGGAAGTAGGCTTGATAGTTAATTTGGGAAGCCATTGATAACTTGGAAGAGACCTTTGGTATTATTATTAGGGATTGCTTTTCTTCTTGTCAATTGATTTATATATTGGGGGTAGATTTATTAGTTTATCAATCATAATCGTGGTAATGCTTGATCTTGGATGCTTTAGTTTATTGATTAATATTTCCTCTAGTTAATTGTGTTATTTAATATATTAGTTGATTATTATCATCCATTATTGATTGGTGACGTGCTTAGTGATTAATTGAGTCTGATTAATTGAATGAACCATAGTCTCTTGGGATTCGATCCTTACTTGCCCTACTACACAGTTAGAAGGAATAGTTAGGTTATTTTTGTTAGGTACGCGATAAGCCTATCAGTCTACCTTGGGTAGCTTTGGGCTCCGTTTTAATGGTTTGGTTGGGATTCTGTAGAATCAATGAATGACCCATCAACCAAAATTACCCAAGTGACTGCAGGAGATGAACCTATCTTTAGAATGGACTTCAAAACTTCTACTCTATAGTTACAAGACTTAGAAAATAGAACCATACTTTTAAATAAAATTCATAGTTGCACAGCATTTTCATCAACTTGAAACAAGTGCGATACATTTCCAGAGGTACAAATGATGAAATGACAGAAAAGCTAAAATGCATTTGTCATATTAGTACATGAAAAAGATGCTAGACTGACAGTGAAGTCCAAAAATATAGAGCTGAGGAACACTACAGATAAGTCATTAACTCTCCAGTTACCTTTTCATACCCTTGCTCAGCATGTATCCCAGTCACCTCATCCTTAAAATATAACAGAGCATTATGGGAATGATTTCCTTGTCTGTGTCAGGTACTTCTAACAAGTCGGACATAGTCAAAGTGCACGGATTAAATAGAACTAGGTTGTATGCACCATGAGATGGAAAATGAAGGAGAGGCTGCTTGTCAAGAATCGGAAGAGAGCTGTGTTGTTACTCATTATTGTTAGACTTCCTGTAAGGCATGAACTTATGGTCCTTTGCAGCGTTTCTCCTCCTCTTCTTTTCCATAAAAGAATCCAGCTTACCTTTTTCCTGATTATAGACAATTGATCAACTAGTAATAAATACACGTAATTTCTTAATCATCCATCAATAATAAATAAGCAAGAGGTAAGCACATACCTTCAGATCTTTGAACTTCTCCATGTTAATCCGATCTCGGATATCAGCTGCAACAAGAAAATCAAATGAGCATGTGCAAGCATAGTGCTCCAAATTAGCTCATGGCAAAAACAGGTTAAAAGGATGAGTAATACATAGCTCACAAACCTGAGCTAAAGGATCACTGGTTAAATAAATTATGGGCAAAATTTGCCAAGATAGTACCAATTATGGACGAGTTTAAGGGTGTAATAAACACTCTGAAGAGCACCACATTAGTCCTAGCCACAATATCAACTAAAGCCAAGGTGTGTGTCATTAATCATAATTGACTCCGGAGACCTCAGAATACATTGGAGATGGGGGATTCATTATTTTATTATTTTCCCCTCTTTTCAAAAAAATACCCTTGTATCACATGACCATACTAACCACTATCATTTTCATCATCCTCGATCTCTCCTCTCCTGAAAAATCCGAATTCTCTTAAAAAGCTTCGCTGTCGTTACTTAATTCTCTCCTCTTCTTTCCCTTCTCTCCCTCTTTCCAATTCTCATCACTTCCCTACATATACCTCGCTTAAACCTCCATTCACCCAGTTCAAAGTCACATCCTTTTTAAAGAGGAAGCCTAAATTGTACAAGATCCCATACTTTCAATTCGTTTAAAATCCCAAAAGAATTAAAGAAAGCAAAAAATATCAAGGAAAGCAGCACTGGGTTTGATTGGAGAGAAATCTTCAAGATTGAACAAAGAATAAAGATTATTTTTAAAAAAGACCCTATTTGAGAAGAGAAAATGGAAAAGGAGATGGAAAGGATTACATTTCTTTGCAAAATAGGGACGCTTTCCTTGCTTTGCTGCTTCCCTTGCCTTCTTTTTGTGTTCAGAAAGAATTTGGTTTCTCCTGAGTTTTGTAGAGTCAGACTTCATATGTTTGTCCTATGAAAACCCACAAATCAAAAATTAAATGAAATGACAATCGTAACTCCATAAGGATTAAAGGTATTAGCTCCAAGCAAAAAGAATAATGAAACTGACATCACAAAAGCTGCTCATAAAACAAAAACTTTTGAGGCAAATATACTTACAATCAAGGCAATGCGACTTTTTAATTCTGTAATTTTTTCAGGGTCTTTAGATGACTCCAGCAGTTTCTTTAATTCCTGTGAGAAGATGAAAATATTATGATGATGGCTCAAAAGACAAAAGCTTGTTTGAAACAACTCAAATAAGACACAGCACCAGATAGCCAAATAAACGTACTTGCTTTTCAGCGGGAAGGTTCTCTTCATAGATGAAATTATATCTCTTCTTGAACCTGCATTGTACACAAAGTTAATGTTAGTATTTGAATGATGTAACAATGCAACTTTCATCAAATGCGTGCCAGATCATAGTTAGATCATCATATTTTTTTTAATTTTACTTCATATCATATAATTTTGTGAGGCCGATAGCCCGATACACAAATTACATCACCTATCTCTAAGATGCATTCCGCTATCCGCAATTATAAAAAACAAGAATTGAATGAAAAAAATTAATATCAATGTCGGAATTAATTATTCTCAAAGATCAGCATTCGTGAAATTCTGGCACAGACTAGACTATAACATGAACATATTCACTGATAATTTATTACAAAAATAAAAAAATGAATGAAATAATTAAAAAATATCTAAAACAAGAAAGAAAAACAATGAATGGCAGATAATTTTCAATCAGGAGCCTTACCCCTCTTCATCAAGATTGCCACAAAGAGATTCAAATCGTGGATCACGTACTACCTGTTGATCACATTATAGGAGTGAATTAGCATAGTGATAATATGACATAAAGCTTACTTACATAAACATTCAAAGGGATAATATAATTCCAAAGGAATAACATCAGCCTATGCTTCATTTGCCCTAAAGTAGCCATATCTACTAGACACTCAACATTGGTGTGACTTTGGAAACTTCCATTAGGAAAAAAAATTCAGAAAATGGCCGAGTCTAACACACTTGGATACATACCTGTGTCTTGACACTTTTAGCCAAGTTAGAGTAACATAGATATAAAGAATGATAAACCAGAATCCCCTAACTTATCACTCTTGCAATTCACATCATAAAAAGTTCTCGCAGAAGCTTAGATATTGGTCATGTTTCATTCAACACATCTGAGTTTTACCTCTCATCCCAAGAAACAGGAAATCTAATTTGTCAAAATGTCGAACACCCTCAGAAAACATGAAAAATGGTAAGTCTCACTAATTGTTCTGGTACACAGTAACTGTCTTATGCACAGAAGATATCAGTAATACTTATAGAAAGGTGAAGTGCATACTGAAGTATAATTTAAAGCCTAAGCAAGCACTGAATAAAGATGAATCTTCATATATTAGAATAACAAAGAGCTCGCTTCAGATGATTTCCTCTGTTTCAGAGTTCAAACACATCTAATTGCCAAAGGAAAACTAGACACAGATGGCCAGGCACTAATTTTAGATAAACAAGATCATAAATTGGCAACTTCATGGTTAATCCCACAGTAAAAATTTAATTGTAGAAATCCCAATTGTAGACATATGGTGAGACTTTCATATAAGGAACAATGCTATGATAATATCCCGAACACCCTAAAAAGGATCATCAAAATAATGAACAACTAATCATAATAGACTAATATGTTAAACACAGGTGTGGTGTTATGAAGCTGACCTTCTTAGGCACTTGAATCACTTCTCTGAATCTACTAACCGGCTTTTTGCTACTCACTTCCATTGGCCTACATTCAAAAAACCCAATACAAATACTCAATTCCAATCTGCAAACAATAGCACTAAAATACATACTCCATATCAATTGCACAAAGTATAACAATAAGCAAGAAACCCATACATGTTTTTGTTAGCTCGCTTAGCCTTGTTCTCGGTTTCGCGTTTTCTGTGCAAACAAAGGGTACCATCGGAAAGGGCCCTCTGCAACTCTCCAAAAGGCACATCAGCAAGTTCATTCTCTATTTCAGCTTCAGGCCCGTCCCTCAGGCAGGGCAGCTCTGATTTCATAGTTAAATCCTAACATTAAAGTTTTGTGCAATACATTAGCAACCAAATTTGATTCATAATTATAGGGATTTTTGATTCAATTATCGATCTCATAATTTCAGAGATATTTGATATGATGATAACAAATACAAACAACTTACCTCAGAAGTTGCTTCAATGGGGGATACAAGAATTAGATTCACGCCAACTGCGCTTCAATGGAGAACGTTGAGTGCGCTGGATATCTCACTAATCTCAGAGAGACCAATTCTATGGATCCCTTATGACCCGTCAGTTATTAAACGGATAGATCCGTCTAATAATAATAAATAAATGGGTTGAGTCTTTATATGATCGTCCAATTATGGGATAACGCAGATTTTTTAAGGGTTTAGAGTAAACATGTTTTAAAAAGTACGGAATATGGAGTGCTATTTTAAAATTTACACTTCCTTTTCCCAAATACTAGGTAGCTAACGCGCGTGCCATAGCTAGTCATACTCGGAATCTCTTTCTATTTAACCTTATATCACAAATTTAATAATTGACAACATAATAAAATAAAATATATTTAGGGGTATCAATGTCCACACATTAATCTTAAGAGTTAAAAATAAAGAGATAATAATCATAGTGAGGGTAAATAAGTAAATAAACATTTTAAATGGTATAATTGTCCAAACACTATTCATTAACAAAAAAACTTGTACATATTAATGAAGGTATGTATGTAAATACACATTTTGAATGGTATAACAGGCATAACTTTATTCATAAGAATAATCTTGTACTTTTTATAAGGATGGGATTATCATCACACACCAAAGCTTGTATAATTTGTCTTAAATTTAAAAATAAAAAAAATAAAAAAAAAATTGTATAAATTGTTTGTAAGTTTTTTTTTTAAAAAAAAAAAAATTTGAAAACGACTAAAATTACATTAATTAAATTGACTTTACAATAAACGAAAGGAAAGTATGGTAACATAAGTCAATCACAATTTATCATGTGTTTTTATGAGTTTTCCTCAAAGAAATGTAGTTAGGATGACTGTTTTGTCATGGCCATTATGGCAAATTAATAGTGTCGTGTGAAGTGTGAACTATGCAATTGTATAGGTAGTGTTAACTTTGCGGTTTTAACATCAGTTGACGGTCACCTACATTTTATTATAAATGCAGTTGCAGACTAGCAAGTGTAGAATTCACTTAGTTAATTGTATGAGTTGGTTAGTGTTCTGTGTAAAACGGAAATTGTTAGCGAATAACTTTGGAAGTGGCAGCTTTAATATCCTATATAATTAGATGATATTACCCCCTCGCTTTACAACAAACCATGAAACACTAGTAAAATTAGAAGAAAAAAAAATCTAGAATATCCTATATAATAAGATGATAGGAACTAGGGTCATACAAACACTTCTTCATTGCCTCAATCACCACCATATTATCACTCTCGATCTCAATGCAACTCATACCCTTGTGTCTCGCAATCTTCATGCCCTAAAATACCGCTTTCACCTCTGCAAACTTAGTCTCTCATTTTTCACTCCACTACACCGTAGCTCCCCAAAGCATCACCCCCTCACTATACCTGCAAACTACACCCAGCCCCATCTCCCCCAAAACTCAGCATCAACAATAATTTTAACCACATCAGATGCCGAAGGAGACACGCCCACAAAGACACTCTTTCCACCCATCAATTCCCCTTGTTATTCAACTTTCCTATCTCACGCCCCTTCGTATTAATCTTCAAAGCATAGGCAACAATTTGTTCAACATTCGAATTTTCACCCTCAGTCATTCATTTGTTCCTTGTGCCCCACATAGCCTAACACATGGTAATTAAACTCACTATTTTCTACCCAAAATTACCAAAACAGTGCTCCCACCAGTCACTCATACTACAAAGAGAGTGAGACAAAACACAGAATAATTGCACTTACTCCAAATTGTTTGGGCTAAATTGCAATCTTGACGCATGCATGAAAAATTCTTCTTCTCTCTAGTAAACACTACAAGCTAATAGCCAAGGCACAAACTAGCTACAAAAGAAATTAGCTTTATAATCTTATGTAGCCTAAAAAAGCTAATTTGCTAATTAGCTTACTATTGGAGTTGCTCTAATACTACATCGATTCCTTTAATTTGATACATTTTAACTTTACACCCTAGTGTCCCAACCAATCCAGCGAACACCCACCCAAACCTTAACTCTAACTCTCGAACCCCACTTATGTGGTCAACTCCCAACCAAAGCCCAACCCTTACTCTTATACCACACTTATGCGGCGAACTCTCACCTGGCCCCAACATAGCTGATTCATCGAACCCACACAACTCTCACCCACTCTAGTCGGCACGAACCTATGACCACCTAGCCCTCCACACCAAACCCGACACCTTAGTCTTTTAAAAAATTATTTATTATAATTAAAATTAATTTTTTGTATAAGTTAATATTAAGCTATATTTTAATTTTTAATTAAGATAATTCTTATTTAAATGAGAGTTCATTATAATATAGTCAAATGATGACTTGTTTGATTGAACACAAGTAAAATCTAGTACTTAAAATATTTTATGGAATATAGACATCAATGTTACTTATTTTTTAATTTATTAACGTTGAATTAATATTGGAAGATCACCTAAAGTTTGACTTATTGTACTTATTTTTTTATTTATTTTATTGTATTATGTTAGACTTTTATTTTACTTATCATAGGTATATGCATTTCTATTTTACACTAATATTTTCCATATGAAAATGACAAAAAAAAGGCAAAAAAAAAAAAAAAAACAAAATGGTGCATTATCAAACCAAGAACGAATTTTTTCAGTATGCAGTATCATTAAATATATATAGTTATTGAAATATATACTTATGGATTATTGATTAGTTATTATTCATTGATGATTACTAGTTATTTATTTAAGTAAACAGAAATTTCACCAAATGCCCCTAAGTAATTTTTTATTCACCAAATACCTATCAAAACTTTTAAATTCATCAAATACTTTTGAGTTTAAGAAAAATGTCACCTAATTCCTTAAAGACTAACGGTGGTTAACACCGTTAGTTATTAATGACTAATATGCCATTTGGCAGCTTCTAATTGGTTATTGTAATATTAGTTAATTAATTATTAAAAAAACTTTTTTTAAAAAAAAGCCACCACCCAAGACCCACCCCACCCCAACGCCCCACCACCAACCCAACCTCTAATTGGGATGGCGGGGGGTGGGGCAAAAAAGGTTTGCCAGCGCCAGGGAGGGGATTTTGGACGCCGGCCGCGAAGGAGAGGGGGTTTTTCGAGGGATGGGGAGGGGTTTTGGGGGAGGATTTCGGGTGTCGTGGGGTAAGGGGGTTGACCTCGCCGGCAAATAGGGACCACCGGCGCCGGTTCCGGCTAGGGAAGGAGGGACCACCGGCGCCGACGGCCGCTGGCAGGGGGTTAGTTTGGTAGGGGAGGGGGTGGGGTTTATTTTTTGTTTTTGTTTTTTTTTATATTAATTAAATTAATTAACTAATTTATCGAGAACCAATTGCAGCATGCCACGTGGCATAATTAACCTTAATGACTAACGGAATTAACCGTCGTTAGTCATTAAGGACATTTGGTTACATTTTTGTGAAACTCAAGTGTATACGGTGAATTTGAAAATTTGCATGGGTATATGGTGAATAAAAAAATAACTCAGGGGCATTTGGTAAAATTTCTGAAAAATTATAAAATTATAAGAATATAATATTTAATTATAATATAAATCACCAACAAGGTCAAAAGAAAAGTGTGAATAGTGAAAATGTCCAAATAATGCAATAAAATAAATAGAATTATTTAAAATTATTTACGAATTAACAAATTATATAACTATTTAATAATTATAAAATAATTGATTTTAATAAAAATTATTTTGCCCCGGGCCTCCAAATTGTCAAAATCGGCTATGTTCAGCTTCCTCCTAAATTGACTAAAACTCCATCAAAAATTAACACAAAAACTCAACTATGCACACTTAAATCTCAAATGTATATCAAACCAAGTAATTCAACAAACTAACATCTTCTTCACTCGAGGAATCCTCGTTTTCTTCAAATTTAATTTTATTCGAAGCAAGGAATAACTCCGCTTTCATAGTTCCGTCCTAAAATTAAAGGGTTTAGCAACAAATTAGCAACCAAATTAAATTCTTCTAGTTTAAGATATGAATAGAAACGATAATACCGGTTATCATGTTTTAGTAATTATATCAATTAAGTGTAACTGATAATTCGACAATCTATTCACGAAGAACCCTAAATTGAATTAATAAAAACGATTAGTAGAATATTGAGGAATTGATATTCGATGATGAAAAATAACATCTTACCATAGAATGGAGAACTCAAAAATATGCTACAATGGAGGAAAGAGAAAGCGAAAGTGAGTTTAAGGAGTCAGCTGTGGAGAAATTGGTTTAGGGAGCGCAAAGCTCTGTTAAGCGAGAGTGACTTTTTTTAAGCAAAATTTGCATTTTACCACCTACAAATAATTCACTTTTGAAATTATCACCGAATTTATTTTAATTTAAATTACCACCAATATGTGGACATCAAGTTGTTGTAATTTTAAAATTACCACACATAAAAGACTTAGTTTTACTTTTAATTTAAAAGCCCTTTGAAAATAGAAATCAAGAGATCTATGAGGGTTGTAACATACAAATTATAAATAAAATTATTATTTCCGCATATATTTTTTGCGTCTTTATTGTATATTGTGTGCTTGAATTTTATGGTTTACAAATTGACACGCTTGATGGGATGATTTACGCTCTTCAAGTTACAAAACTTGTAGATTTAATGGGACATGTCAAATTTGCTTTCGACATCAAATATCCACAACAGGTTTCGAGGGGGCATTTATTAGACAAATTTTTAGGTATCAGATATATGTAAATAAGGAGACAATATCAAAAAATATATATATAAGACATCTATCTTTAAGATTTCGTAGAATATTTGATAGTAATTATTTTGTTTACTAATTTACGACACTTAAGAGGTCGTTTTTAGAAGTTAACAAGGCTCATATGACAAGGCCTTATACTGTTATACTATAAACAAATAAACAAACCATAAACCTTTGGTGAGAGAAATCAAGAGATCTAAAATATTTATAATCCTACATATCATCAATGAAATTATTTTACTACAAATGCAAGTTCAATTTATCTGCTTGATAAATGAATTTTTGTTAATCTGGTGGAATTTTTATAACTATATTGAAAAAGCGTGCTCATTTATTCA